GAAAAATATATTGTTATATTATTATTAAATATTAAAATATTTTGCTAATATTGTATAATTATAACAGGGATAATATAAGAAATATATATATTTTATATGTATTATAAGTGTATTATTTACTGTGCATGTTATAATATAAATATATTATAAATTATTTTCATTTTTGTGCTAATAATTTTATATTATATTATATAGTTATTATATTATGTTGCCTGTGCTCATAAATATATTATGACCACAAACATAATATATTTATAAGAAATAGATTAAAATAATAATGTATATATTGCATAAATACAATGTAATAGAGATCAGAATTTATTATGTAAAAATATTCAGTGTATTAATTGTAAACAAATACATTATTTTTGTGCTCATTTGATCACTCAATTTTTTTTGTGTATGATAATTTTATCTTCCATATATGTCCCTAAGACTTATACTGATGGAGGTCCCAAGCCATTTTTAAGGATTAGAAAAATGAACATTTTACAGAATCTTTTGACAAGTGCTGATAAGCAACTATCAAGTAACCACCCATAAAAAAACAGCACTGTTGTGGCAAGTTCTGCACAGAGAAACACAGCTCACATTTTCTTTAAAACACATAAACATCTAATTTTTGTAGGTCTTGTTCATAGATCAATAACAATATGCCATCTACAATCTACAATATGCCATCACAGATTTTAACTCAAAGTAAGTCAATGTAAAGTACATGATATACTATCATGGTATAAGTGCTGTACCTTCCTAGCTTGATCCATGGTGATGAAGGAGGGGATCATACTCTTCCTCAGAGAGTACTTGTCATGCCACAGTCTGTCCGTCTTCACTGTTGGGTCTGAGGCTACAAAGAACTGAACACCCGTATTAATAGTCAGATGGAGTTCTTAACTTTTTGTTTGTTTGTTTTAAGAAACTTCTTATGCTACTACCTGTAACACACACACACACACAAGTTTACATACCCCTTGTAGAATATGCAAAATGTTAATAATTTTCATAAAATAAGAGGGAACATGAAAATTGCATGTTATTTTTTATTTAGTACTGTCTTGAATAAGCTATTTCACATAACGGATGTTTATATATACTCCACAAGACAAAATTATAACTGAATTCATAAAATGACCCCGTTCAAAAGTTTACATACCCTTGAATCTTAATACTGTGTCATTTCCTGGATGATCCATGACTTAGGGGTATGTAAACTTATGAGCACAACTGTATATTAATGTTTACTCTGATGAAACATCACTGTAGCTCAAAGACAAATAAATGACCTCCACTGACACACACAAATGACCTTTCTGTGGTAATTACACAGATGGAGGGAACAAAGGCAGAAGAGCACATCAGTACTTTCAACACAGTAACTATTAAAATGACTATTGCCAAGAATAACGATGGCGAGCGAAACAAGGAGCTTGTAAACCTTTGGCCCAGGAGGAGAGCGGCGTCGATGGGTGCATTAGTGATATAACCCACTCCGTCACCTCCACCCCTCAACACTGCTTACACTGTGAAAAATCCTGTTACACTTCAGCAAGGGTGAGATTAAATCCTGTGATTACATGTAGGAGCGTCTGATTGGTGCCTGTGTGAAGGGGAAGCTGGGAGTTGATTGGGCGATAACTCTTCTACGCCCGACAACTTCAGACTTAGTCGAGTGGGCATAGGCTAAGTAAAAAAAGATTCATTGACACCATTTGGTAATGGTGGAGGACAAGGAGAAGTAGATGTGAGAGTGATAGTGGAGAGAAAGAGACAGAAGGCCATAGAGGAAGTGGAAGGAGACGGGCCCATTAGCACACCCTCATCTGTCCTCATCTTGGTGTCTGTGTGTAGGAGACTGTGGTTCACTATGTCTGGAACACTAAATCACACTCAAGTGCAGCTGTTTTCTCAGACACACAACAGTGCACAAGTCAACAGAGTCAATTTGAGGACACTGGCCTGAGTTCAGCTTCCATTATATGGTGGAACAAAGTCCAATAAAGTTAAATTTTTTAAATTTAATTATTAACTTTGTATTGATTAAGTGTGTGTGTGTTTTTTTTTTTGTTAAATCTACCAAGTACTTACAAAATATAAAATGTAAGAACAATAAGAAAAAACAAAAACAGTGTAAAAATTTAATAAAATTTTTTTAAAGGCATGTTTTTTTATACTAAATTAATATATGTATGCATATAAATATAAATTAATGATAAATAAATATTTGCATGCACATGTGTCTGTGCAAATATTTGTTTGTCATTCATTTGTATATGTATGTGTATAAATTGCTGAATCAGATTTTTGAATCACTTGGACAGTCTGAACCAGTGTTTTTGTTAACTTAAATTGCCCCATTATGGATTTTTGAAAATTACCTTTCATGCAGTGTGTAACACAGCTCTAAGTGAATGAAAACATCCTGCAAAGTTTTAAATCTGAAAGTGCACCATGTATAAAGTTACTGTCTCTCAAAAGAAAGTCGACTCTGAATCATTGAAACAAATCGTTTTTAAAACGAATCCCAAGCCGTTTCATGTTGACGTCAACATGAAACATTAGCATATTGCCCGCCCACTTGTTGGTCTTTTCGTGTTGGTCTGAATGAAAATGCAAATTCATTCTTTGCCACTAGGTGCTGCTTTTGGAGCGGTAAAAATAGCTGTTTCCCCGGTAACGCTGTACACAAAGCAGCACTGCGCTCACAAACGCTGCTTTATCAGGCATTACAGGCATGATGAAATGAAAATGAGACCAATCGGACCAATCACCGCAGAGTAGCGTCACGCAGAGGAGGGGCTTGGAAAAATGAATCTTTGAGCGAATCGTTTGGGAGTCCTTGAGCAAGTAAGATTAGCGTCACGCAAAGGAGGGGTTTGGAAAAATTAATTGTTAAACGAATCGTTTGGGAGTCATTGAGCAAGTAAGGTAAAAATAAATGCATATTATAAGACAATGAAAGTGTTTTTTGACCTTGCATGCATGTCAACCTATTGTTGGGGACTCCCAAAATCAAAATATGAACCTTTCATAACCCATAATAGGGGCACTTTAAAACTATAACCGTTAAAAATCAAATCAAATCAAATATAAATTATATATGAAAAACAACTTAAAAAATTTAATGAAATAAAATGTTTAAGTTGCAGTATTAAACTAAAACACAAATAAAAATAAAATAAAGCTAAATATTAAAAAATAAGACCTAATAAAGAATACAAAACCACATAAAATTACAAACAACTAAATGAAAACATAAAAATAAAAGCTCATTCAAAATATTAATAAATACTATAATAGTATACAAACAATACTAAATTTGAAGCACTAAAAATGAAATAAAAATTAATTAAAGCCAAACAGAAATATATATATATATATAAAAAGCTAATAACATTTTCAAAAGAATAATAAAATTACTCAAATTAAAATGAAAACTGAAAATATAAAAATATTCAAATAGTCAAAATATTAATAAATACTATAATAGCATACAAATAATCCTGAAATAACACTGGTCTGAACTGATTCATAGAAGCGAATTGAACTTTTTCAACATCTTATGTTGCTTATGAAGTTTAAATCAGAGACACTATTAAAAATCAAATTACAAAAGTAACTGATCAAGTAATGAATCACATGGACACATACAGCAAGTTCTAACAAGGATATCTGGAAATGACTTTGCAAAGACGAGCAGTATGTGTGTGTGTATCCTGACCTCATGGTACGTATCCTCCAGCTCCCCGTCGTAGATCCAGCGATACAGGAAATTAAGAATGGGGTGGGACACCAGACCAAGGATGTGCTGGATCAACGCTCTCATGTGGGGGTCACCCGTCTTTCCATATGCATGTACTGCTGAGGCCAACTCTCCTCCTTTACGCCCTGAGAGAGAAACAAGGGTGAGGCAGATATCTGAAATCAAATCTTTGCATTAAATGCACCTAATTACTGTGAAATATGATCAGGAGTCTGACATTAATGCTGCCTACATTTTAAATGTATTGTGTTGCAGTATGTACCTTATCAATGAGATGGATCATCACTAACCTTGGCAGTAGTCCACCAGTGCGGCCAGTGTTTTTAGCCGAACCTTGGGGTCGTAGGTCCACACCAGCAGTCTCCTCAGAGTCAGACTGCTGTCCACACTCATGTTTACACCCTGATCATCTTCCACCTGGAGCTAAACACATATAGACGTCAGTCACCCTTTTCCACTGAAATAGTGCTGGTTCTCATGCTTGGTTGATTTAGTGTGCTTTTCACAACCTGCTTTTGATGCAACTGTCAGAAATTCATTTTATTTCAGACAGGGTACATAAATTGGCCAAGGCTTTGTGTCAGTTTGATCAAACTTCACTATATTATCCTGCAGATTTTTCCAGCTAGGAACCAGTGGCGGAAAATTCAGGCTTGAGCAAACGAATGTCTCGGGGTCAAACCCACATTTTCCCTTGCGCATCAAGTGATGTCCCATACTCACCTGTGCATGAAGTACAGACAACAATCTGTAGTATTCCTTCAGCTCTTGATGCAATGCAGCACAAAAACTCTGAGAATACAAACAGCAACCAAAAGTGTTACTGAAATTATAGAGTGTGAAATTCAAGAATTATTCCTGGCTACAAACTACTGTTCAACAGTTTGGGGGTTTTAATGATTTTATTTGGTTAAAAATACAGTAAAAACAGTAATATCATAGAATATTATTAACATTTAAAATAACTATTTTCTATTTTAATTGATTTAAAAATTTTATTTATTCTTATGATGTCTAAGCTGAATTTTCTGCATCATTACTCCAGTCTTCAGTGTCACATGATCCTTCAGAAATCATTCTAATATGTTGATTTGCTGCTCAAAAAACATTACACTGTAAAAAAAAAAAAAGTAAAATTTACGTTAAAAAAACGGGGTGATGAGAAAGTCACATGATGAACCAAAGCCCATTACAAGCAGCTTTTAAATAATAACATATATAGAAGGTGCACAGTGTCATTCACACAAACACCAAACACCATCATGGTAACACACATGAAACTGAAATAATGCAATAAACATTAATTTAACAACATTAGGTGTAACCCACAACGCTAATATACAAAACTGATAAGAAAAACCTAAGAAGAAACCTAGTTATTTAAACAAAAAAAACATAAAATTTGAAATGTAACGCAGGGAATTCTGGGAATGTCAATTTACGGTTATTCACTGTAAATTATACGGTCTTTTTCACTTCCAAATACGGTATACTACCGTAAAATTCATCTCCACTACATGTAATGTCCAATACAGTTTTTCACCGTATATAGTAGGGGAATTTACCGTAAACCATTTAACAGGCTTTTACTGTAGCATTTTTACAGTCTTTTACCATTAAATTCACGGTCATTTTTTACATTATTATCAATGTTGAGAACAGTTTAAAAAAAAATTCAGGATACATTGATGAATAGAAAGTTTACTGTTACTTTTGATCATTTTAATGCATCTTTGCGGAGTAAAAGTATTAACTTCTTTCCAAAAAAAAGAAAGAAAGAAAAAAAAAGGTGTTTAAAATGTATTATCTATATATATGTATATATAGATTTATGTAAGGGTTAAGGATACATATGATATGTTCATTTCCAGTCGTGTCACATTTCCTACCTGTCCGACTAGGCCAAAGGCTCGATCCAGGCTGTGGGAATCTGTATATTTTCGAATCTTATTGTGGAGCCAGCCGAGCTCTGCCAGCCTGCTGCTAGTGTCTCTCAGAGACTTACACAGTGGCACCTAAAGGACAAACCATACAATTATTAACTGTCTTACAACATGCAGAGCAGGAGTATTATTACCCCACAATAACAGACTATAGGCAAAATGACTGAAATGTACTGTATTTATTTTATATTTTTTAATTAAACTAAAATATCTGCTGTAGGAAAACTGTGGGAAATCAGAGTGTGTTTTAGTGTAGGCTGTCTGTGAACTGGCCAGTATGTAATCTGCCCTTGTGACACAGTGGCAAAGACATCTCATCAGTTCGAAGAAATGGCTTTGGCTAATCTCGACTTTCACTTATTTTGGCTCTTTGTGAGAGACATCCGTTCCATTCAACACAAAAACGCTTTAATCGCTTTTAATAAAAGGCCCATTTTAGCCTTTGATTAAGTGTTCACTTGTAAAGGTCACCAAGATTCCTTCAAAGCAAACGGTTACTAAACAGACAACCAGTTCTTTTACTTTTCTTCCCCAGAGTGAGATGAACACAAAAAAAGGCTACAGCAAATCTCAGACTGAACACCATTACGAAGGGTTGATTTCTTACAGATTCTCACAGAACTCGAAGGAAATATGCAAAAAAAAAAAGGTTATAAAACCTTTAGAGGTTCATAAAACAATGATCCATAGATTAGTTGGATTAGTTAAACGAATGACTTCTGGCTAAATTTCAAGAAATGCCCTCATATTAAGATTGATTCTATGCTTTATATAATCATATTAGTGCATAAAAAGTGACCCTGACAGAGGTTTATTTTTAGGTTTTATGAGAGGTCTTCAAGCATTCTACTCCATCTGTTGTCTAATGGTTTTAGTACTATATACGTCACAGCCAGAACAAACACAAACAGCTCTGGCCCATCAGAGTGTCTGCTTATCCAGCACATCTCACTGGACATAAAAAGCACATTGTTCTTTTCCAAACAAATAGATGCACCATTTTAAAAGTGTCACTTAAAAAGGACACCTGATCGATCAACTTTTATTCACCGTCAACATCTGCCAGGAATGTAAAAAAAAAAAAAGGAAAAGGTCTTGGGAGCCACTTGGCTCAAATGGATTCATGAGTCCACGCGAGTTGTAGCCAGACAGAAGCAGCTGATGGTGAGATCAATGCTTCTATATTTCCCATTATGCACTTACACAAGTAACTACAGATGCCCCTACTTAAGTTTGTGTAATAAGAAATCACATTACAAGTACTTTTATAAGAAGTGCTATACTAGAACATTCTGCTAATAATTACTTTCCCAGCATCTCAGTGTAGCTGAAGTGGATAAGTAAATAAACGAAGAACTTAAAAATCTAGCAAAAAGTAGTGTTTTATGCGAATAAATAAAAAAATCTGAAACTTACGTTTTACTTGCTTTGTTCATTTTCTTCACAATATAGTCATTATGAATGGCTGAGTGATTTGATTTGCTGTTCATTATGATTAAATTCAACTGCATAGGCTTTTTACTTTTGGTGCCACTTAAATGAGTAATTAAAAACCTGCTTCATAAGAACACAAGCTAATATTTTGAACATATTCTCGTAAACTTCACACCCCATTCATAATTATACAACAAACTTCTTTCTTCATTTATGATTTTATGCTAATATACACTACTGTTTTTGAAGTTTCTTATGCACACCAAGGCATTTATTTGATGAAAAATACAATAAAAATTGTTGAGTTTGAAAAGAACTGTTTCCTATTTTAACATTTTAAAATGTAATTTATTCCCGTGAAGGCAAAGCTGAATTTTCAGCATCATTACTCCAGTCTGCAGTGTCACATGATCCTTCAGGAATCATTCTAATATGCTGATTTGTTACTCAAGAAACATTTCTTAATATTATCAATGTTAAAAACCATCGTACTGCTTAATACTTTTTCTGTTAAATAAAATATCTCCTTTTGAAGTAGACTTTGAGCTTTGTAACTTTGCAGATCTTTTTTATGCTCAAACAGCAACATTACAGACTAACTAAAGTTGAAAAAGTGAAAAAACATAATAGGACCCCTTTAAACACCTCTGAAATAGTTCTTACTTCTCTCTACACTTAAAGGACAAAAATCAAATGTAAAGGACAATTAACTAGTCATAAGTAGTCTAAAAACTACTGAAAAACATAACAAGGATTTGTTTACAGAGTGAAACATTTATAGCATCTACTGCATAAAACTCCCAGGCACCTGTCACTGGTGTTCAGCACATATTTTAAACAGTCATTTCTATTTTTAGTTTTAAAATACTATCCTTATTTATTGTAGTACCGGTATATAATCACACAATTATTTCCTGAAATGTCCCGAGCATTTCCTTTAACAAAACAGTGACTGTTGATGCAGACACTCACCACTGCCATCTCCATCTCGTCTCTGTCTCTGTGGGAGTTTGGATGCCGGACTGGAAGAGGGTCCACAGGTGGGACGAGGGGCAGCAGTTGCCCCAGAGGGGGAACTGGAGATCGGGAGAGTCCAGGCTAGACGAGACCCTCTCATAGACTCACCAACGGCCTGGGGTCCAGGTCTGAAAATGATATAAGTGGCAAAACTTTCTTATAAATACACTCAAGTTTATCTGAAAACCTCTGCATTTCATAATTTAACAGCCAATCTCTACTAAAGAAGGTCAAATTCTAGGAAGGTGTTAAAAAAAAAAATGTCCTAAAATGTTTACATTGTCATTTTGCTAAAAACATTTTCACCTCAAACCCCATTTTCTTGAAACTCGTCATTGATGCCCATTAGCAATACCTGTGGGAATTCACTAATTACTTCGTAACGGTGAGCTTTAAACAAATAATGACACTGAGGTTCAGACACTTTAATGATGCTGTTGGTTTGACAGATTTACTGTGAAATGGATCCAGTAATCAATTAATTCATGGCTTTGAGTACATGGCCATATTTAAAATATCTTAAGTGCTGCAGGTGCTAGACAGCTGCATTAATAATAGATGAGTGTACGGCAGTTCAATTAAACATGCTACAAATCCAACAGCTGCATTACTGAAAAAAATTCAATAAAAAAAGATGGGAAGAGAATAAACCCATATGCTTTGTCATAGGCTGTTGCTGTGCTAAAGCACTATATGAAGCACAATAAAACAATTAAAAATAAATAACATTTATGAAACATAGCGTGCATTGCAATGTGATGCAACAGTATGCAACTGCTTACAGTAATAAAGTTTCAATTAATATAATGGGAGCAATATTAGTGTTGCTCATGTAAATAACTTCACTTTTTAGAAATGTATAGTAAATGCATGAAGTGAAAACCTCTTTACATGGGACATGATTATTTTCCCTGTAGACAAAAAACAATTACTGAAAAAAGAATCTGTAAATATTTATATTTAAACAAACCCGAAACAGAGAAATGGAACCATTCTTAATGGATTGTAGTCACATTCTACCCATAAACAGACAAAAAGTTCTCTGTCTTCTGTGATATTACAATGATTTCTGATCACATGACGCTGAAGACTGGAGTAATGACTGCTGAAAATTCAGATTTCATGAATACATTACATTTTAAAATATATTGAAACAGAAAACAGTTTTCATTTTAAATTGTATTTTTGATCAAAGAAATGCAGTTTTGGTGTGCATAAAAGACCGGTTTCAAAGAAAAAAAAAAAACGTACCAACCCCATACTTTTGAAAAGTTGTGTTTGCATTGGTGTATTTCACAGTGGATGTTGCAGCTGTTCGACATGAAAATTAATTTTGAAGATAGTTCACCTCAAAAATGAAAACTAATTTTCTCACTGTAAATAATGTTCTAAACCTGTATGAATAACTTACTTCCATTAAACACAAAAAAAGAAATTCTTAAGAATAATTTAGTTATTCTTTAGAATGATCATAAAGCCTAAAAACCCAAAACTGACCAAAAACACCAATTTCACATTCACATGATCACATGACAATAGTATCAGTGTCGACTGGCATTACTGATAGCTATGTTGGTGCAATGTGGTATATGTGACTTTTGTAGCGTCTGCGTACGATCATGCATGATTTTTGGGGTTTTATGGTTTAAGAAGACCCTTTTAGCTTTTGACATTTGCATATAAATTACAGTCCTGGTCCCAGACGTCACACTTATATGGGTACTAAATGTCAAATGGTTCCCCCCCACTCTCAAAGAGATGCTAAACAGTTTCACCACTCGCACCTTCATGTGGGGTTTCAAACACATTCCAAAGAGACGTAAATGACCCCCGGGGCCAGGCACAACAGGCCAGGCCGGCTGACCAAGCAAACTAACACACACACAAACACACACACACATAAAGACCGTTACTCTATTATACTCTACAAATATATCTGGTAACAGTGTTCTTGTGTTGGATACTGAGTGAGAGTTATGACTTTAGCTGCATAAATAAATAATCATTAAAATAAAAATTAAATTAAGAAAATTATATTATATTAAAATATCTAGGCTATATTAATAATTATTTAAAATAAATTATTTATTTAAAATAAAATTTATTTAAATTTATTTTTAATAAAAAAAATACATGCACCTGCTTAATAATATCTCTATTGTTTATGTTTGATTTCATGCTATGTTTATGGTACTATTTTTGTCCTTTTTGGAGCTTGACAGCCCATGGTCAATGTATGGAAAAGTCAGTCCATCACTGTCACTCACCCAGTGAGCAGAGATGGAGGGGTCGGTCCAGGCCCATTGATTGAGAATACTCCCATACTGCTGATGCCACTGGTAGCAATGCTGGAGTTATGGGCAGTCGCAGAGCGCTCTGGGTAGCTGAGTGGGAGGCTCTGGGGACGGGCGTAGTAGAACGGGGTGGAGTGGACATCACGGGGCAACGCCTGGGCAAGCAGAGCTCCATAACTACACACCTGTGTAGGGGAAAAAAGAAACTCTGTCTTATACATAATGCCGAATGATTTTCATTATGTTATTGTGTAGTATCTGCAGAATAGCTGCTGGAGAAACATCTCAGGAACATACAGGAACACGGTTAGACGGCTTCCTTGGGTCCTCACAGAGGCTGAGCAGGAGGTATAAGATGGACCATCTATGTTTCAATACACCCTGTTCACCAGAAACAAATAAATCAACAAATAAATCAACAAAATATAACCATACGATATGCCGTTCATTATATCTAGTCTACACGTATCATGTGTAACTTGGAAATAATAAGGCCTCAATGTGCTGGCGATGAGTTGGATACCGACCTGGGTCTGAAGCTTTCTGTGCAACTCAGAAAAAAGGGCAGCATCTGCTTCCCGTCGTTGTTTTAATACTACAATAAATAAGAAAAAAAAGATTATTTTGCATCTGAAATGTATAAACCAGAAATATTAAAGAATGGCCTGATGAGTTTAGGGGCTGTTGGCAGAACTATCACTAGCACTATTGGGCCCGTATTGCATTATCACTAGAGATCGACCAATATTGATTTTTCTATAACCAATTATTTGCATGTTTATATGTCCAATAACTAATATGCAAAATTAATATTTAATATTTTACTTCCGTTTTTGTTAAATTATACTATTTATTTATTAATTCATTCACCATTTTATGCCATCTCAGCAAAGACTATATTCAAGGCAAAAAAAAAAAAAAAAAGATTTAAAATAGTCTTAACACATTAATACTTGAATTAATTGTATACAATAATTTAACAATATAAAATATTATTTCACAAAAAAATAAAAGAAATTTAAAAAAACTATTATATAGCATCTTTTAAAGTGATATTTGATAAATAAATTATGTCCATTACTATACTTTGAGTAAAAACTTTCCTAGTTTTTTTTAATAATAACAACTGCAGAAAAATAAACAACAGGCAAAATAAATTGACAAAGTCTAACAATTTCAAATATAAAACATAAATAACACAGGAGTGTATCAACTTTGCATAAATGTAATTTGTTTTACATTTGTATAACTGTAATTTGTTATAAACTACAGTTTCAAATTAAGGTTTAAGCATTGTTTATTAGGCTATGGAGTAAAGACAGCTAATTCACTGGAATAATTATACATTGTCAGAAAAGTAACAAACAAAACAGTAAATACATTATGGTCCATTTCAAATGGCATGTTATCGGAATTATTAATGTTTTTGTTGGTCTAGATTTTGAAATGCCTGCTAACTATGATATTTTTTGTTTTACAACAAGTAGCACATCTACAGGCAATCTGCCAGCAAATGACATGCACATCTCATCAATACTCTGACTATCACCCAACACATTTTTAAAAGCATTTATTGCATAAAACAAATGTATTTTGCCCCATTCTATATACATTATACTTGGAGATCGCAATCACTCACAGAGATAATAAATTATTTTCCACATAGCTATATGTATGTCAATGACAATTAATAGTAAAATTAACAGAAGATGTTAATAGAATTTAGAAACTTTTAAACAAGTGGATCTGGTTAAACTGTATATAGAGTGGCCATTCTGTTGGAAGTTATAAGCCATTTATCTATGGATCCGATATTACAAAAAATGGTGTGCAAATAAGGAAAAAAAGCTTAAATATCAGAAAAAAAATTTGGCAAAACTGATTAGCAGTCAATCTCTAATTATCAGTACATTTGATGGTTGTTTGCATAATTTCATGCCATGCAATATCATATATATCATATAAATTGGAACTACTATCCTCCTGATCCACCAAATCCTTATTGTTAAACCCTGCACAGCACGTTCTACGAAGCCTCCTGAATACACAACTGCTCTTGAATAACGTAAGGACGGGGTTTCAGATTACTCACATTCTTTTTTAATTTTCTCAGACACCAGAAACTCATCCCGTTCAATTGTGGGTGCGTAATTACTTCCGATGACCCGCACTGCATACTGGAACTGATGGGCTACATCAGCTGAGAACAATGACAGAAGATACACAAGCAAATCTGATTATACATACAGGCATTAGCTCCTCTTTTTGGAAACTGAAAGCAGGGATCATATTCTGTTATGTCTGCTGTTTCTACAGTCTCTAGGTCCAATGATGAACTGCTCATGTCCAACAATAAAGTGAAATGTCTGTTTCTCATCTGTTTATGTCTATTGTGGACTCTCTGAGCTGTGTTTCCTTCAGATTAGGGTTTAATTCAAACATACATTTGAAATATGACAGCACCAGTGAGCTGACAAAAGATGGCATAATAGCTTGAGTTCGAAGCATCAGGGTCTTTATTGACATGAAGGGCCATTTGAAACAGGGGCCCTGTTTTATCCAGCACCTCGCTGATGTTTTCCCAGCCTGTCCTCTTACAGCATCTCACCCTCAATCACATGCATTATCATATCACATCACATTGTCCGTTTTCAACGAAACTCACAGCATAGTCCATCACTACACATGCTAATCATGTTTTAGCAGCTGTATGACAGAATGAGATGTGTCTTTACCTTCACTCTTGCCCGTGATCTTACAGCACAGATTCTGCAGAAGCACGTTGGGTGATTTCTGATCAAGCGCCGCCATTGTGCACGTATATATTACCCTCCGTGCGAGCAGAAACGGTCCGCGGTGTGTTTTTAACCGCTGTCGCTTTTCATCTGCTGGGTTTCAGCTCCTGGCAACAACAGCGCCATTTTAACGGAACCCGCCGAAAAGCGCCCCACAATCGGACAGTCAAAGGAAAACACAGCAGTGGTGCGCAGCGGAAAAACAGCCGGCTGTAAAATAAGACTCCGGAAAAAGTTCCTCCCTACAAACGTTACTTATGCGCAAAATATCATAAAACATGTTGAAAATTAATAATAATGTTGCTACTACTACTACTACTACTACTACTACTACTATTACTAATAACAACAACAACAACAACAATAATAATAATAATAATTATTATTATTATATAGTTTGATTGTTTAAAGCCATTAATAATCAAAAATGTTGTCTTTTACTAAAAACTGTAAAGGGGTAATTAATCAGCTTTGATACGTGTTTGAATGGTGTACAGGACTATAAACAAGACCATTACTGGAAGTTAATTAATTATATATATATAATAAAATGAAAAAATCTGAATACAAACTGCACGATAATTTATCAGAATAATTATGATGTAATATTATTATATTAATTTTTGATATTCTATGTAATAATGATGATAATGATGATGAAGATGATTATGATTCCTACTACTACCATCATTATTATTATTATTATTATTATTATAAATGTGTAAAGTAGAAGTAGGTTAGCTAAATGAATTGTACTGATATATTTTTGACTGCATCAATAAAAAATATTGTTTTTTACTAAAAGCTGTAAAGGGATAAATGGCTAGAAATTTAATTTATTTAGTTAATAATTTAAATAATTTTACTAATTTGATATTTTTTATAATAATTTAGATTAATAATTATTATATAATAATATCAATCATTATTTATTTTAATTTTAAAAATAATTTTATTTATCATTCTTAGCTTGATTACATAAAAATAATGAAATTATACTGATCTTATAATGTGTAATAGATACAGTAAATGTTTTTATTTTTAATTAACCCATTTGTGCCCAAATTTTTCTGAATGGTTTCATGCATATAGTCATGTTAATAGTGTCCTATGTGAACATGTTCTCCATTTATTTTCCCCAGGTTTTTTTTAAGAAAATTACGCATTTAACTGTTTGGTAACCAATATTCTGCAAAATATCTTCTTTTGTGCTCAACAGAAGAAAGAATCTTATGAATAGGCACATATTGATTAGGTCAAATGGATTAACCCTGAGAAAAGTCCTTGATATTCATGAAATTAATGATATTCTTTTTAAAAATATATGCTTATTTAAATAATTATCATGTGTAGGCTGCACCCATGATTGTTTGTTTATTTATTTACTTATTATTGAACATGCAGGTATTTTCCTATGTGAACATGTTCTCCATTTATTTTCCCCAGGTTTTTTTTCTTCTTGAAAATCGAATTTGAATGTGCGGCAACTATAGTTGCCGGTGGGCAAATATGTTGCTATTACATAAAATGAATTCATTTCCCCATGATATGTACTTACAAGTCATTTGCCTACCGGCAACTATAGTAACTAAGCAACTAAAGCATACAAAAAAACTATAGATCTCCTGTAAGATTTGTTTAGTTTGGATGATTCTAGAGACCTTCATGATTATGTAGATATATATATATATATATATATATGTCAACAAAAAATACTTATTAGTAACATGAAAATTACATTTCTTTGGGAGGGTTTGCTTTCGCCATGCTTCCTGGAAGTAGGGGTAGGAACTTGACATCCTCATGTGACAGGAAGGAAGTGAATACCTTTTTTTTTCTTTCTTGAAATCCTTTATTTGGTTGTTTTCTTGCATGTCATTGAGAAATAAAACATGGATAACATCTAGAAAAATACTTACAAAAGGAAAATGACAACTATGAACTGCGGCAACTATAGTTGGGGTAGGAACTTGACATCCTCATGTGACAGGAAGGAAGTGAATACCTTTTTTTTTCTTTCTTGAAATCCTTTATTTGGTTGTTTTCTTGCATGTCATTGAGAAATAAAACATGGATAACATCTAGAAAAATACTTACAAAAGGAAAATTACAACAATAAACTGCGACAACTATAGTTGCAGGTGGGCTTAAATGGGTTATTAAGATAATTGTATGATAATATGATGACAATATTATGATAATAGTATGATAATAATGATAAAAATAATTTAATAATAATAATAATTTATGCATTTAGCAGACGCTTTTATCCAAAGCGACTTACTATACATTTCAGGCTATACATTTTTTACCAGTATGTGTGTTCCCTGAAAATACTTACTTATTATTTTTGTTTCTGTTATTATTGTAGTTGTTATTTATTCTACTAGGCCTATTTCCCAATAATTTTTCCTTTTTTATTGTAATTTTTATTTATTTATTTATTTTTCATTATATTTTTGCAGTCGTCAAGTCACCCCACATAGTCCTAAAACACTTGAGAGGCCATGCCATCACCCTAAACCGGTTTGTTGCCTGAGATTGATTGGCAGTAGCTGGATGGGGAGTGACCGGAGGGCAGGCCGAAAAAATCACCGTGGGCGGGTGGGTGTAGCAGAAGAGTGCGCGTGCGCTCACGGTGCTCATGTCGTTTCGGCGCAAACAGACGGGGAGTCGGGAGAGCTCTACTACACCGAGAAGGAGAGTGAGTACGTCAGTACACCAGAGAACAGCCCGGAGGGACGCTTGACAAGTAAGAAGTGGCCGGTCCCTTAAAATATTAAGGCAAAACCTTGAAAAACGAGAGCTTGCTGTTTTTTCCTCAGTCCGTGTGTATGTAGGTGAAACCGGAGCATGTCACTATGACAACGTGTGGACTTTACATAGTAAGTTAGCCTTCTTCATCTCAGTAGGTGCTCAGTAGATAACATTTTCGCGGTAGTCGTGTAGGACTGTCAGTTGTCAAGCCTAGAAGAAGCCGTAGAAGACAGTCATGGACCAGAGACTTGCTACAGTGATCAGCTAGCGTCTTATGTGCCCATTCTACAAGATTAGAGGAGAAACCGAAGACAGCGCACCTGGAGCGGCTCGAGCAGAATGGATTTCAGCACCATTCGGAACCTCATCACTCGATACGTGAGTAGAGACGTTATCACTCTCTCCAACTTGTTGGTCTGGTTTGCTCTATTGCGAAGGGCTGCACTGCTTCCGATACACATTTTTGTACTTTAAAGCAGAAATAACACGTTGGATATTCATTTGTCCGTTTTCAAGGCGTGGGTGCATCACTTTTAAGCCTGTCTGTGAATATGGAAAGAGCTAGCAATATGGACACAACCGGTGTTTACAGTTAATCTCAGGCTTTCGAAATGAAGTTATTACTGCGGTTCAGTTCCGTTTGACTGTGACCTGAATTCTCAAACGAAATCAGTATTGTTATGTTTTCATGCCTAATGATGACACCGGCTGAGCTCATGACTGAGAATCACAGCGGTGTTATGAAATATCAAAATTAGCTTAAATGAATTAAAAGGTATTGCGCAGGCGCGGAGGGCAGGTGTGGATAAATGGAATGATAAAATAAATGTGCAGTTTAGTATTGCACACTTGTCTATGTAAGACGTCCCATAAGTGTGTGTGTGTGTGTGTGTGTGTGTGTGTGTGTTTTAAAGCATTAGAAGCACCTCAAGATATCACAAATCCCATATTTTGGTTTTAAGAACTGTTAGATATGTTTGATTAAAATCTAACATAGAATAAAATATTCAGAGAAAATCTAACATGCAACTCAAATAAAAATCTAAAATAAAATCTAAATCTAAAATACAATCTAAAATCTGACATAAAATAACATGAAAATCTATTTTTTGCGCAAATAATAATTGTATTTCCTCTCTTAAAATCGTGATTTTTTTGGGGCAATTTGTAATGTTTTAGTCAAGATCAACTGGTAGTAATAACCTAGTAATAACCAGTTAGTTACTGTAAAAACAATGATCAAATACCTATTTTTCTGTAATTTGTGGGAATGAACTACTCCCAAACTAGCTTATCTAGCTTATCCAGCTTAATTTTGACTAAAATTTATTTATTTATTTATTTTGTGATAAATAATTTAGTTTGACCTCTTTTATTATTTGTTTATAAAGGGAAAAATCATTCAAAAGTATAAAATTTTAAAATTATTTTATACTTTATTAATTGAAAGTGGCTTAAAGGCTGAAATGCGGTTTGTATGTAAAAAAATACATCAAATTCCGTCATAAACAAAGTAACATTGTTGCTCTACATTGTTGTATTATATAATCCAATCGTTTTCATAGACGTGTTCAGTCGATAGGTTACTGTATGTCATTCCTACACAGATTAGACCTGTTTTTAAGCCACTTAGCAATCAGTATAGGCAAGAGTACATTCTAAACCAACTGTCCAAGCTGTTGGGGGTTAAAGAAAGAGATTTGCTCAGTAACTGAATCAAATACTGTTGTCAAGCTTAGTAAGTGGGTTAAATGTGCGAGCATGTAAGGTTAAGGACATTTTACAAAAGAAAACAATTACTGCAAAACAATACTAAATGTTATAATAAATATGTTAGACACAATTTGGAACAATATTTCAATGGTTTATGTTCAGTTTTTTGGTTGGTAACTGAAATGGTAAAAAAAGTAATCTGTTATTCTGTAGTCTGTCACTGTAAGCTGACATGCAAACAGATGAGTAAAATCTCTTGCACTGTCTAGACCAGTGATGGGCAAACTTGGCCCTTCCAGGCCACTTTCCTGCAGAGATTTGATCCAACCCTGATATGACTCACCTGCCTGTAGCCTTCTAGTAGTCTTGAAGACAATGATTAGCTGGTTCAGGTGTGTTTGATTAGGGTTGGAGCTAACCTCTGAAGGAAAGTGGCCTAGAAGGGCCAAGTTTGCCCACCCCTGGTCTAGACAGTCTGTAGAAAACCTGATGAAAAGATGAAAAGTGTGCGATAAACACGTGAGTGGTAATTGATGTGTCATGTCACAAACACCTCTCACCTGTCTGTTTGTATGTTTGTGTTTTGTTTGCTCAGGTTTTATGGTAAACCATATAACACATAGGGCTCCACAATAAACAAACAAAATTGTTTTTGTCATTTTTATTAAATGTGCCTATATTATTCATTTTTATATCAGTTTTAGTTGTAGTTATTTTAAGGAATAAACTAAAAGAAGAAGAGAAATGTTGCCTTGCCAACAAGCTGAATTAAATAACTGTAAGTTTATTTTTTTATTTTTTTATTTTTATTTTATTTTAGTTTTAGTTAATAACCCTGGCCTGCTTGTGTCACAACATATTACATTTGTTGATCATATTTATGGGTTTTCATGCCTTACAGAGATCTTTTTGACCAGTTAAAAAATGGTGTGACTATTAAAATAAATGTTTTATTGTTGAGCACTGCACACGTTATGGCAAGGTTATCGTTAAACCTTCAAAATCATATTTGCATCATTGAGGTTTGAGAACAATGCTTCATTTGAAATGCAAAGCAATAAAATCCAAGTCATTCTTTCTAAACTTTGAAATGAATTTATCCTGAGGAAAAGTTTAAACATTTATGAAAGATACAGTTAAATGCAAGTCAGTTTTGCTAGGAAACATGCAGTTTGTTTATCCCACCCTAACTGATCATTTAGAGAGCTGTGTCATGAGATCGGACTGAGTGTGTTAGTCACATGAGTGTGTGTGTGTGTGTGTGTAAGATTGCCTGTGAAAAGCACAGTCCACCCCATTGCTCTTTGATCTAATGCATGGTAATGCAGGTTGGCGGAGTGAGAGGAGAAAGGCAAATGAGAGTACCGGGTAGACAAGAGGGGAAGTGAGATGGAGCGAGAGAAGACAAGAAGAGAGAAGGATGGAGAATGAGATGGGTCAGAGGAGATGAGAATTAAGTCCCTGTGCGGATTTGACTGGCTCAGACAACAAAGGAAGTGACAGTGGAATGATTTGCTTCCACCTGTAGTAACACTCACTTCCAGAGTCTGTCTGCTGAATGGGCATTTTCATTGTAGGAACATAAATATGAAATGGAAATCGGAAGCCTCTTTTAATATGCAAAGCTCATAATTTTTAGTTCAGCCAGAATTGTAAGTTGGAAATATGGAAATTGTTGTCTGCTTTGAAGTCTGGAAGAACGTTTCCTGTTTAAGAGAGAATAGATTAGATTAGAATTCATAGTAAGCATGTCCGAATTATCAGTTGCAATCCAAATATGTTTATTTAAGGTTAGGTGTGTAATTTTTTTCAGTATACAAATACTTCAAATACTTTCCCAGCTTACTATGCAACTAGTAGCCATTTGTAGGTTGATTCTCCCTAAAAAGTGAAAACTGTTCTGTGGTGTGTTTTTTTTTTTAAACCGAGCATCTACCAGCCTATCATAGCCTATCATAGCAACATTTTTAACCAATGGTTTGGGGCAGGGCTATCTTTTTGATCAATAAATGTTTGATCAAACCACTGTCTTTCTACTTAATGAATATTATGCAGTATACAAGTGAAACAATACGCATTATTCAGCAATAAAAATTGTATATGTTAACATATTTTCAATTGAATTTGGGCAGTTATTAAGAAAGAAATGTAAAAAATTTCAAAAACTTCTATACTGCAATTTTGGAAAACATAATATTCTATTATACAAAAAAAAAAATCTTACTATAGCTGCAGTATATTCTGCATACTACTGTACTATTCAGAACATAGCAAATTAACAGTTTTTGGCAGATTTTTTGATTATTAATAATAATTGTCTTTAAACAATACTTACAATTATCGACATGACAGAACAGGTTTCCAGTGCTTTATTACTGCACAAAAAGGCAACCATCACAGGCTTCTGAATAATTTTCAGCCTTGGACAGGAAGTAGCATGACTGCCCATATCCTGTCCTAGGAGGCTTTGAGGTAATTTGAGCTCTGTGTACAGAGGTAATCTCATTGTCTGTGATCAGCATCAGGAAAGACTTATTGGAAATCATCCTGCATGAGCAGGAGTATGATTCAGCTGGTCAGACAGTAAAGTAGCATGGAAAGTCATGCCAAGCAAGTTCATACATAAATGTTTCTCGTTCCAACTATGACCATGACCATAACTGTAGACTAACTGTAGTAGCATGATGTCTAGGAGTAGAAGTATTATTCGGAATGTGTTTAAAATATGCGATTGTCAACTGGCTGATGTGGCTATATTCGGAATTACAATAGCATACTACCATACTACAATTGCTAGTTCTGTTGTATGTGTAATTTCAGTGCTCAAATTACCTGGAATTGGCTGCAATTTTTCCTTTCTTTGTAACTGTTTTTAAACTTATGAATTGATTAGATGTACATTGTGAAGAAAAAAGCCAGTAGAAAACAGAAAATGTACTGTTAATTTCCTGCCAGAACATTATCCGTTCATTTTATGGACATTTCCTTTAACCTTAAAACATAACACAATGCAGTGCTTCATTCAAAATACAGGGAAAACATTTAGAAAATATGTTCACCTAAAACTGCAGTGTGGAATACTGTTGTTTAAAATATGTTGTTGCATAATGTTTCACATACTATTGCATGCAGTAAGCTTGTCAGTTATGTCAGACATAATAACATATTGCATTGATTTAGAACATGTTTACATGACTAGCATTAATGGAGTTTATGGCACAAGCAACACAAATTTTATCAATAATTCCAACCTAATGCAACACTTTAGAGCACATCAACCAACACAGTGAGTGCTAGGAACTAGCTGACCATGCAACGAGAAATAAAACTATATCATTAAGACAACCATCAGTTTTACTTAAACAGTCTTAACTTATGTCATTGTTTGTGCCTTTGCCTGGATAGTAACACCCACAACAAATCTGAGCAAACAATATGTGGATATTTACTGTATGCGTCTTTTATGATGAATCACGTTGGTTTAATAAAGCTAACAGCAGCAGATCAGGGTGATGTTGTTAAAGGAACAGTTCATGCAAATGAACATTCTGTCATCGCTTACTTCCTCTCATGTCTTTATGAACCAGTATGACAGTATGACCAGTATTCACACTGTTTGTGTGAATTTAAGGTTTTAGACTGCTGAGGATTGTTTGCATGCATAT